GAGACACAGTCTCCATCTGTTGCCCAGGCTGGGGTGCAGTGGTGTGATCTTGACTCACTGCAGCCTCCGCCTCCTGAGTTCAAGCGATTCTCCTGCCTCAGCTTCCTGAGTAGCTGGGATTACAGGTGCCCGCCACCACGCCCAGCTAATTTTTGTATTCTTTTTAGTAGAGACGGGGTTTCACCATGATGGCCAGGATGGTCTCAATCTCTTGACCTCGTGATCTGCCCGCCTCAGCCTCCCAAAGTGCTGGGTTGACCTGAACCACTGCTCCCCGCCCCTCCTGGATTTTCTAACTACAAATCCGAACGTCCGTGGGGCCTGACAGGTCCTGGTTGGTGGTCCCCTCCTGTTCCCTCTTCCCGGGACTGGTGAAGGAAGGGTGGACGGGATGGCGTGGGGCCGCGGTGGGTCATCATGGCTGGAGCCGAGCCCGGGGCACCTGCCCGCACCCTGGGAGCTCCCACCCGGCAAGCCCCCGGCCAGGGAGAGAAGGAATAGTCCAGAACCAGGGGCAAAGGGCAAGTGAGGCTTTTTATTGTGTATGAATTCACGTTGTGTCAACAGCTCCACACAATATTCAAACACTGTGAGAAAGTGGGTGTGGCACGCCTGGAATTTTAAAAAAGTTCAGAAATAAAAACAGCCAGACATCCCAGTGCAGACGGCATAGAGCCTGCTGGAACCACAGGCGGCAGGGACACAGACAGGTCTTTACAAAGGTCAGATTGGCAGCGGTGTCCGCGGACAGAGAAGGCGGCGCAGTTGGCCGGCGTATGGCTTCTGTGCGGAGGGCCAGCCTCAGGTCGTGCGTGGATGTTTTAAGTGGCCCCCGGAGAAAGGGCGTGGTGGCTCTCCTCGGCCTGGAAGCCCCCTCCCGGGTCACTCACCCACGAGGGGGGCTGTGATGGCCCTCTCCTGCCTGTCCCGGAGCTAGGGCAGGACAGGGGCTGTTAACTTGGAGACAGTTGCGTGGCTAGAGGCCCCGCATTGTGCCCCCCGACATGGTGGCCAGCCCGTGGAAGGGACCACGGAGAAAGGCGGAAAGAGGAGCACCTTCCACCCTGACCCAGCCGCCCTGTTTATGCTCCAGAGGCCGGAGGTCACAGCTGAGCCGTCTGTGCTTGGCCTGGGGTTACCCTGGGGACAGTGGGATGCGTGGTCTGGCTCCTTCCTGGAGAGAGGAGGGCAGGGGAGCCTGAGCTGGTCCGGGAAGGACGGGCTGCGCTTAGCATCCCTGGAAGGCCAGGTGGGTCACTATCCAGTGGGGGCCAGGCCAGGCGTGGCCCTTTACCTGGCACCTGGTGACTTGCTCAGGGCAGGAGAAGGCCGGTGGGAGACCCAGGCTGCAGAAGAAGGAGAAAGGTCCTCCTCTCTCCCACCGACCCTGCCTTGCATGTGTGTGTGTGCGCGCGTCTGTGTGTATGCGCGTGTGCATGTGTGTGTGTGTGCACGCGCGCGCAGGTGGGGGTGAGTGCCTTTACTTTTCTCCCAGCATGGCTGAGGACCGCTGGTCTCCCCAACGCTAGAGCGGCTGCTGCCACCCCTGCCCGCCAGCTCCCTGTCTGGAGGGGCATCCATGCTCCTGGAAACGCCTATAAAACACGCGTTCACCCCAGGCGTTCCCAGCGGAAAAGCCCACGCAGCGGTCGGCGTGTGCACTTGGGTGTCACGTCTGCAAAGGTATTTTCCACAGTGTGGTCACTGAGATTTACTCGAAAATTTAAAAAAAAAAAAAAAGAAAATTTAAAAAAAAAAAAAAAAAAATGGATAATTTTTTTTTCCCCAAGCTAGAAAGAAACCCACAGGCTTCTGGCCATGGTGGCCTCCCTGGGGTCCGGGAGACGGTGTGTCTGGACAGCTCAGGGAAGCCAAGGCCCCATGGACAGTGAAGGAGAGGCCAGCCTGTCCTTCCCCTCCCTGAGCCTCAGTTTACCTGGAATGCTCAGACTCCAGACTCTCTGACTTCTGTGCAGAGGCCGGTCTGTGGGGTGGGAGGACGTGGCTTTGGGGCTTTTGGAGCTGAGCTCCTTGGAAGCTGGGGTTTAGCCCCACCGCCTCCAGCAGCCTGGGAGGTTGTATCTCTGCGGCAGCCTCTATGCCCTGCTGGCATTTCTGGGGTCACATCATGAGGATACGCAAGTGGGGCCGGGCTTGGCACAGCTGTGCCCCCTCTTCCCTCTGCCCTGTCGGGGAGCGGGGCTCGGGGTTTAAGGCCTCTTTTAAGCAAAAACGGGGTGGGGTGCGTTTGTTCCCAGGTACCAAGATGGCTTGTTGGAAAGGGTGGAGGCAGCCGAGGCCCCCCTCCCTGCCTGGGGTCCTTCTCAGGGTTTCCGGGACAGGCTTTTGTCTCTTCCTGCCATTTCTGCTAGGGTCGGTGGGGACGCCCACACCCCAGCCCCGCCGGCTCCCAGCCCGACCGCAGGAGGCCACAGTTTCCCGGGAGTCCCTGCAGCTCTCCTGGGCCAACTCGCAGGTTTGCCCGGGGAGGGCTCCCCGAAGCCCCAGCCCCCCCGGACCAGCCGTAGAGAGCTGGGTGCCGGGCAGGGGAAGCCCGGCCGTGGCCTGTGGGGGCCGCCCGAGGTTGGGGAGTGGAGGTCACTCCCCCCACACCTGCACACACGCAGAGCCCTCGAGCCTTGGCGAGGTGGGCACCCCGGCTGTGAGCAGGGAACCCCTGCCCCACGGGCCTGCACAGAGGACCCGGGCAGCCGTCCAGGAACTCTCTGGGCACAGGTTCTTAGATGCCAGTTTCCACTGGGGCCGGAAGGACAGAAGTAGACTAGTTTTCTCTACCACCTGCCCCGCAGTGGGGGTCGGGGTGGCTGGGCCCCCTGCGATCAGCGCTGCTTGGGTTCTGGCCGCTCAGGATCCATCTCAGATGTGGCTGCCCCTGCTCCCGTCCGTCCGTGCCACTGAAGAGGACACAGTCACCTTGCAGAAGCCCCCCGCCCTCCACCCCCACCCCATGACATCGTCCATTTACACTGGCTGCTGGGAGGGGCCACCCGTCCCGCACCTGGCGCGTCGCCCGGCCTGGGACAGCTGCTCTGGGTTGCAGGGGTAGAAAAGCAAAAAGACGGTTCCAGTGACATGAGAACGTTTTGAGCCGATGTTTCCATCTCTGGGACGAAAAGCCTCACCTCCCAGAGTCCTTCACAGTCACTTCAAGGTCATGTCACAACTCTGTACACACAGCAGCACAGGGTGGCTCCCCATTTCGACCCGCTGCGGCTCCCCGGGCTGCACTTCTATTTGAAAAATGTCCACAGTGGATGCCAGAAGGTGGGACAAACCAGGAGAGCCAAGGACGGTGGAAGCCTCTCCTGGCCGCATGGACGCCTCGTGCTTAAAACAAGCCTGGCACAGGGGGGAGGCCGAGGCGGGCGGATCATGAGGTCAGGGGTTCGAGACCAGCCTGGCCCACAAGGTGAAACCACGTCTCTACTAAAAATAGAAAGTTAGCCAGATAAGGTGGCAGGCTCCTGTAGTCCCAGCTACTCGGGGGGCTGAGGCAGGAGAATCACTTGAACCCGGGAGGCGGAGGTTGCAGTGAGCCGAGATCACGCCACTGCACTCCAGCCTGGGCGACAGAGCAAGAATCCATCTCAAAAAAGGAAAAAAACCAAAAAACGAAAAACAGACGGGCCAGGCCGGCGACCACTCTCCTGGGGCAAGTACCGAAAACCCATTTCTGGCACAGAGGGGACCCTGCAGAAAGGACCCATGGCGAACGCCACACGGGGGAGTGACACTTGGCAACTTTTCATAGACAAAGCCCCCTCCCGACCCGCTTCGTGCATTCATTACATGATGGTATTATGGTTTAGTGACAGGTTTGACCCTCACATCCCCAGTTTAGCCGTATGGGTAACGATGTTTTAAATGGAGAGATCTTTCCAAAGCAGTTCGCGATGTCACGTTCCCCCCAAACTCAATGTCACCTCTACTTAAAAACAATAAAAGGCATGCCAGGGACCCGGTGAAGTCCTTTTACAAATGGCCAATTGCCCCGGAGCGATTGCTGCCAGGCGAACTCACCCCCCTTCTCCGCTGGAGTCTCCTCCACAATCAAAACGGCCATTGAGAGATTTACAGGAAGTGGCCATAAAGCCTCCACCCGCTTTCGGCCAGGCCCAAACTGAGAGGGCCACGGGGTTGGAGCTGAAAATCCATCAACACCTGGAAGGTACATCCTAGCCCATCCCGGCAGTGGGAATGCCTTCTTTTTTGGTGGGGGGATTTCTTTTGGAATTAAACGTTTTAGGGACTCGAGATGTTTTGTTTCAGCTAAGTACTGAATAACGCCCTGCCTGAGAGAGCAAGAGAGAGAGAGACAGAGAGAGAGAGACAGAGAGAGAGATACAGAGAGAGAGAGAGAGAGAGAGAGTGCACGTATGAGAACACAGCTATAAAATAATACAAGGTTTCTTGTCCTTAAAGGGGTTCTCGGAGGCAGGGACTCCGACCAGCAAGGGGTCGTTCCGGGCGTGTTGCTCACAGTAGCTCATGAGGTCAGACGCTGCTTTGGAGACCTGTGATCGGGCACAAGGAAGAAAGAGAGAGATAAGAAGCCATACACCCGGGTTCACAGCAGCACCGTCCCCGACAGCCACAGGCAGAAACAGCCCAGGAGCCCATGGACAGGGGCGTGGGCAAAACGTGTGGCCCAGCCACACCCTGGAATATTACTCAGCCATGAAAAGGGGCGCGGCTCTGACACAGGCCACAGTGTGGATGCATCTTAAGGACCCCATGCTCAGGGAGAGACGCCAGACACAGAAGACCAGGAAGTCTGTGATCCATCAATCCTTCCTTCCTCCCTCCCTCCCTCCCTCCCTTCCTTCCCTCCCTCCCTTCCTTCCCTCCCTCCCTTCCTTCCCTCCCTCCTTCCTTCTTTCCTTCTTTCTTTCTTTCAGATGGAGTTTTGCTCTTGCTGCCCAGGCAGGTGTGCAATGGTGCGATCTCAGCTCACCGCAAACTCCGCTTCCCAGGTTCAAGCGATTTTCCTGCCTCAGCGCCCCAAGTAGCTGAGATTACAGGCATGTGCCACCACGCCCGGCTAATTTTTTGTATTTCCAGTAGAGATGGGGTTTCACCATGTTGGTCAGGCTGGTCTCGAACTCCCAACCTCAGGCGATCCGCCCGCCTCGGCCTCCCACAGTGCTTGGATTACAGGCGTGAGCCACCGCGGCCGGCCCATCTGTTTGTTTTTGAGACAGGCTCTCGCTCTGTCCCCAGGCTGGAGTGCGGCGGTGTCATCACAGCTGCCTGCAGCCTCCACCTCCTGGGCTCAAGTGATTCTCCCTCCGTAGCCTCCCAAGTAGCTGGGACTACAGGAGTGAGCCACTACATCTGGCCATAGTTTTTATTTTTTATTTAGTTTTTAGAGATGGAGTCTTGCTCTGTCCCCCGGGCTGGAGTGCAATGGCACGATCTTGACTCACCGAAACTTCTGCCCCTCGGGTTCAAGTGATTCTCCCGAGCCTCAGCCTCCCAAGTAGCTGGGATTATAGGCGCGTGCCGCCACCACGCCCAGCTAATTTTGTATTTTCAGTAGAGATGGGGTTTCGCCATGTTGGCCAGGCTGGTCTGGAACTCCTGACCTCAGGTGACCCGCCGGCCTGGGCCTCCCAAAGTGCTGGGATTACAGGCGTGAACCATGGCACTCGGCCTGGCCAGAAGTTTTAGAATAATTTTCTTGTACAGAGGAGGGTCTCACTATGTTGCCCAGGCTAGTCTCAGACTCCTGGGCTCAGGCAATCCTTCCTTGAAGGACTCCAAAAGTGCTGAGGTTACAGGCGTGAGCTGCCTCGCCCAGCCAGTACATCTGCACCCCAGATCCTCCATCCTCTTTTGGACCCCAAGGATGCCTGGGACCTTGGCTCCTCAAACGGCCAGGAACCTGTGGGACAGCTTCGGGGTCTTGCCCAGCTGGGCAGCGGGGCGTGGGGAGGCGCATACCCATGAAGTGAGCCCACCGGCTGTGGCCTGGCTGGCTTTCTAGACTTCTATTTGGGAAGCGGCCCTCCTGGATGACAGAAATAGCCTTCAGACCGTGAAAATAGCTGGCATTGTGGCTCCAGCACTCAGCCCGTTCGGCACGCCCCCCGTGCCCGCCGTGGCGGGCTGCAGAGCCCCGAGATCCTGGCTGCTGAGGCTCTGTGGCTCTGGTCGCTGCGCTGCAGCTGGGGATGTAAAACCTCAGGCGCGATTGGGAGCGGGGACGGGTCAAATCCTGGCTCCCCCGAGGCCCAACATTCAAAGGGGCGGTGGGGGCCCCTCCTCGACATCAAACGGGGCGGGATGAATCACGGCCCTCCTCCGGGGCTGGGGGTTGGCACCGACTCAAAAAAGGAAAACCACTTCAACCAGGGCTTTCTCTTTCTTCAGCCCAAAAGAATGCTTTGAATGCTCAGGTCTGTCCTCAGCAGTCAGCTTTCTGGAACGTTCAGACACCTAGTGGGGGGCAGATCCCTCCCCTCCTGGCTGGATCTCGAGGGAGGCTCACCGGCTGATCAGAACTGTTTCGCCTCCCGCGCCTCCTGGCCGGCAGGGACGAGCCCGTCTGCCCCGAGGGCCGGGCACCCCTTCCTGTGGCCAGTGATGACAAGCTGAGGTCTGAATGGACATGTGGCGATGGCTGATTTTATGGCGCACGAGGGCGGACCATGCTGCCCCGTTGTTTGGGTAAATGGTTTTCTAGATGTTTCTGTGAAGGCTGTTTTTCCTTTCCTGGTTATTATTATTATTTTTTTGAGACAGATTCTCGCTTTGTCCCCAGGCTGGAGTGCAGTGGCGTGACCTCGGCTCACAGAAACCTCCATCTCCCAGGTTCAAGTGAATCTCCTGCCTCAGCCCCCCAAAGTGTGAGTCAGCACGCGCGGCCTGTTTTTTCTTTGGTAGAGATGGGGTCTTGCTGTGTTGCCCAGGCTGGAATTAAACTCCTGATCTCAAGTGATCCTCATGCCTCAGCCTCCCAAGGTGCTAGGATTACAGATGTGAGCCACTGTGCCTGGCACGCAAAATAATTTTTGTTTTTTAGATGTAATTAACATTTAAATCCGTAGACCTCAAGCACAGCAGGTGACCCTCTGTAATGCAGGTGGGCCTCATGAGAAAAGGCTGGGGTCCTTCCAGGAGGAGGGAACTCTTCCTCCAGGTGGCCTTGGGATTTAAGCCTCAGCACCAGCTCTTCCCTGTCTCCAGCCTGCTGGTCTGCCCTGCACATTTCAGAACTTGCCTTAAAATAAATCTCTCTGGGTCAGTCGTGGTGGCTCACACCTGTAGTCCCAGCACTTTGAGAGGCAGGCAGATGACTTGAAGTCAGGAGTTCGAGACCAGACTGGGCACCATGGTGAAACCCCATCTCAACTAAAAATATAAAAAATTACCTGGGCGTGGGGAGTGATCCCAGCTACTGGGGAGGCTGAGGCAGGAGAATTGCTTGAATCAGGGAGGTGGAGGCTGCAATTAGCCCAGATCATGCCACTGCACTCCAGCCTCAAAGAAAAAAAAAAACAGCAACTCTTTCCACACAGTCTCTCTCTCTCTCTCTCTCTCTCTCTCTCGCTGGTCTGTTTTCCCAGCTAACACATGTGTCGCTGGAGCAAAGCTAATCTAGAAGCTTAGTAAAACCACCCGGGTCTTCCACGATGAGATGCCCAGGTCCGTGTGCGGCCACCTGCCAGCTGTGTTCCGGGCAGGAAACAGCCCCTCGGGCAAGCCCTGAGGTCCCTGCAAAGTGGACCCAGGCCTGGGGAGCAGGCGCCTTTGAAAACTGCCGAGCACCATTCTCCTGTTCGAGGCCTCGGGCCTATCCTTCCAGAGTCTCCACCTGAGAGGGGGACACCTGGGAGCCCTGGGTGTCACGAGTGTGGACTTAAAATTGAGCAGTGTGGCCCATCCGTGCGCTGGACCACCACTCGGCTGGGAAAAGCAGGCTGGTTGTGCCGGGCCACAGCGCGGAGGCACCTCGAGGATGTCGCCCTGCACGAGGGAAGCCAGACACAGGAGGCCACACGGGGTGTGATCCCATTTCTTTTTTTTTTTTTGAGACGGAGTCTCACTCTGTCACCCAGGTGGGTATGCAGTGGCATGATCTCAGCTCACTGCAACCTTTGCTTCCTGGGTTTAAATGATTCTCCAGGCTTAGCCTCCCGGGTAGCTGGGATTAGAGGTATGCGTCACCACGCCCAGCTAATTTTTGTATTGTTAGTAGAGATGGGGTTTCACCATGTTGTCCAGTCTGGTCTCGTACTCCTGACCTCAGGTGATCCGCCCACCTAGACCTCCCAAATTGCTGGGATTACAGGCATGAGCCACTGAGTCTGGCCTACGCCCTCGTTTT